CAGGGACAGTACCAGTACCCCCAGTGGCAGCTCCTACTCCAGCAGCACCAGAAGCGCCAACTCCAGCACCCACAGGAGTACCGGCTCCAGCAGGACCACCAGAAGACCCAGCAGCTCCAACAGCTCCAGCTCCAGTACCTCCAGCAGCACGTGCCCCAGCAGCACCGCCAGCTCCAGCACCTCCAGCACCTCCAGCTCCAGCAGTACCACCAGGCCCAGCAGCTCCAGTACCTCCAGTACGAGCACCTCCGGGACTTGTGGCACCAGAACCCCCAGCAGCTCCAGCAGCAGCAGGACCTCCAGCGCCAGTAGCACCACCAGCTCCAGCAGCACGGCTCCAGCGGCGAGCAAACCACTCTCGCAACTGTTGTGGAGAAAGTGGCTCCCGCCGGGACGAAGCACCCGAAGGACCTCCAGGCGCAGCACCTCCAGACTCCACACGCGCAGGCTTAGCACCCTCAGGCTCCGAACCCCCAGACTCAGCAACCCCAGGCTCAGCACCCCCAGTCTTAGCACCCCCAGGCTCAGCACCCTCAGACTCAGCACCCCCAAGCTCCGCACGCTCAGGCTCAGCACCCCTAGACCCGGCACCCACAGGCTCAGCACCCCTAGCAGCACCAGAGTCAACAGCTACCTCGACAGGCTCGACTGCGTCAACCTGGGACACACCTGAGGGGGCAGGACCCTGAGGGGGGAGGGGGTCTACCGGGGGAGGACCTGGCGCGAGGAAGAGCGGCGGGGGGGGGAGGGTGGCAGTGCGGTAGGGGAAGAGACGGTAGTAAGGAACCGACTCGTCAAAAGTGACGTCCTGAGAGGACAGAACACGGCGCGAGGTGGGGTGGTAAAACTGCCAACCAGGCGCGTCAGGGGGGAAGCCAAGGAAGACGCAGGGAACAGCACAGGAGGACAGCTTGTCCGCAGACAAGTCGCGGACAAAAGCTCGAGATCCCCAGACACGGAACGCAGACGCATTGCCAACCTTCCCCGTCCACCGCAGAGTAGGTGTGGTCTACGGCACGGAGACCCGGGGCTGGAGGTTGATCTGATGTGCCGCGTACTGAACCGCGAACGGCCACAGAAAATGGGGAGCAGCCGCATGGATCATGGACGTACGGGCGATGTCCATGACCATGCCAATGTGGCGCTCAGCAATCCCATTTTGCTGTGAAGAGGCCGGAAGCGTGAACGTCTGGCGGATGCCCTCCGCTCGACAGAAGGCCTGCAGCAGGTCGAAAGAAAACTCTCCATCTCTGTCGGAGTGCAGACGCAAAACAGGAAGGTCCGAGCCAAAACTCTCGCTGAGCTGATGACGAGCAGCACGGATCCAGTCGATCAGCACCCTAGTGTCCTCACCCTTGCGGCGCAAGGGGAAGACGGTAGTGTAACGTGAGAAGTCGTCAACGACTAGCAGAAAGTAGCGCTCGTGACCCTGGCTACGGATGCGGGCTGGGCCCCACACGTCCATGTGAAGAGTCTGCAAGGGAGCCTCCATCGGAGGGAACTCGGAGGAGTGAGGAGCGGCGCGCTGCCGCCCCTCGACGCAAGGAACGCAGGTAGGGGCAGGCCCCGGGGGGAGGGGAGGGAGAGACCGGGGAAGACCAGTGACAAGGACACCGGAGGCCATGCCTCGGAGACGAGGCAGGGAGGGGTGACCAAGGCGGTGGTGCCAGAGGAGAGTCTGGTGAGACAGGAGGCGACACGAGCAGGGGGCAGACTCAGGACCTGACCGGGACGCTGCAGCAAACACCTGACCCGACGCAGCTACCTGACCAGACTCAGCAACCGGAGGAGACACGGTAGTCAGGGTGTACAGGCTCGACCCAGGCTGACGGGTGAACGTGGCCAGGTGTCGACCCGTCCGAGTACACGAACAGTGGGTCACCCGCTGACCTCCAGGAGTGAACTGGCCAACCCACGCGTCCTGAAGGTCAGCTCCACTCACCAAGTTCGTGGAGAACGAGGGGAGCTGGAGGCCAGATAGAGAGCCAGACGGGACCGCCCGACATGGCAGAACCGTTGAGGAGTGTGCAAGGACCGGACCCCCAGAGGGGTCAGCCAGAGAGACTGCCACTGGCCGACTGAGCGACGAGAGTGTGGTGCAGTTGCGAAAGAAGGAGCGGGAAGCACCTGAGTCAAGGGTGAAAGTGTGTAAGGCCTGAGCCGATGCGGTACCTGAGAGAGCAGACTCACCAGTACCTGGGGCAGCAGACTCACCAGCACCTGGAGCAGCAGACTCACTAGCACCTAGAGCAGCAGCCTCAATGCCCGGGTCGGGCGGAACACACAGGTAACAGTCACCCTCAGCACTAATAGACACAGCATACATAGCAGCAAGGATAGCATCATAATCAAGATCAAAGATAGCAACCCCCGACTTAAGCAGATCACCCCAGCGTGAGATCTCAGTGGAGTCATTAAACTGTGTACGCCAAGCGTCAGTCAGGCGGCCAAAACAGTGCTGCGTGGCGTGCGGCCCTCCGCACGTCTCCCCACTGCGGTAGCCGGTGCGGAGAACGTAAGCGCAGGGACCAGCACCCCCAGACCTCCCACGCCCAGCGTACCACTCACGAAGCTGCTGGGGCGACAGGGTCTCACGAGGGCGCTGCTGCTGCTGGCGCTGACCACCACCAAAGCCTCCACGTTGCACAGCGCCACCCAGACCAGCACCACCGCCGCCGCCACCCCCACCGCCGCCGCCACCTCCACTCCCACTGCCGCTGCCGCCGCCGCCTCCACCTCCACCACCGCTACCGAAGCCCCCACTCCCGCCACCACCCCCACCTCCACCCCCACCTCCTCCGCCGCCTCCACCGCCACCGCCACCACCGCCGCCCCCGCCGTCTCCTCCAGCACCCTTGCCCCCTTGCTCCTGCCGCTGCGGCGCCTCCCACTAGGAGCAGACGCAACGCTGACCGATGCGGTGCCAACAAGGTCGAGAGTAGCAGCAGAGGCAACAGAGGGCAAAAGGGGGACGGGGGAGCACCCCTCAAAGAAAGGGGCGCGAGGGTCACCACGAGAGGCTCCTACAGCGACTATACTCTTCTCAGCTGCAAGGAGGCGCTCCTCGAGGAGGTCAATGGTGAGCGTGGTGGGGCAAAGGGAGAGGAAGTGGTCCCTGACCGAGCGAAGGGAGTCAGGGAGCTGGGTGACGAGGTAATAGAGAGTGATGTACATAGGGGGGGGGGTTTGCGGCGCAGAAATCGGCAGGAAGCACAGCGTGGTAGCGGGTGTCACTAGTGCGGAGGTGCGTAATGAGGTCAGCGACTGTGGCAAAAGCGGCTAGGTCAGGGAACAGGTACGGCAGCATGAGGCGGCTAAGGGCAGCAGTGGCAGGGGAGGAGTAGCGCGCAACAACAGCGTCGTACAGAGTCCTAGCGGTCTTGTACTGGCTAAAGTGCGCGCGCTCAGCAGACGACAGGTGATTACGAATAGCAAGACGGGCAGCAGCATCGCGCGTGGTCCACTGTGAGCGAACAGTACTGTCAGCATCAGCAGCAGGTGCAGCAGAGGCGCCAGACGTGAGATCAAAAAGCGAGACTCCGTCCTTGCTATCGCACTGCAAAAATAGCTGCAGATCATCGACCCAGGCCTCAAAATCGACCGCTCGACCCTCAGCATCGAAGGTAAGGACATTAGGGCTAGCCATGACAGCAGGAGTAGCAGCAGTAGCCTAGCAACAGCAGTAGCAGCAGGAGCAGCGCGACTCGGCAGGGCGGCGTTGCTCGCAAGGGCGGCGCGGGTGCGACAGTGCGCTTACCAGTGGCGCACCGGCAGGTTAGGGGCCACGACAAGGCGGCAGGGCAGGGCCGCGGCTCGGCGGTAGGACAGGGCTGCGTCAGGGCAGCAGGGCAGGGCCGCGACGGCGGGGCCCCAGCGGCGACGACAGCGGCGGTCGCACCGGCGGCGGCAGCAGAGCCGCTACAGCGGCAGCAGGGGCGACGGCTGGTGCAGGCCACGGGGCCTCGGCGGCTGCTGCAGGGGAAGGGGCCGCGACGACGAGGCGGGCGGGCCGTGGAGGGCCGCGATGACGGGCGGGCATGCCACGCAGGGCCGCGACGAAGGGGCGGGCAGAGCCGCGACGAAGGAGCGGGCAGGGCCGCGCAGGGCCGCGACGAAGGGGCAAGCCGGCCGGGCAGGGCCGCAACGAAGGGGCGGGCAGGCCGCGCAGGGCCGCGACGAGGGGGCGGGCGAGCCGTGCAGGGCCGCGACGAAGGGGCGGGCGAGCCGCGCAGGGCCGCGACGAAAGGGCGGGCGAGGCGCGCAGGGCCGCGACGTAAGGGCGGGCGAGCCGCGCAGGGCCGCGACGTAAGGGCGGGCGAGCCGCTAAGGGCCGCGTAAGGGCTGCTGGGCGGGCCTCTAAGGGCCGCGACATCAGGGCGGGCCGCTAAGGGCGGCCGTAGGGCAGAGCTCGAGGCGCGCTTCGGGCAGGGCAGGAAACAAAAAATTCAGGTGGTGGGCCCTAAAAAAAAAAACGGTCCCACTAGGGAACCCGCTCTATACCCGCTTGTAGTATAGTTGTTATGAATGAACTTACTAAGTGCGCAAGATAACGAATGACGAGACTGTGAAATTACGTAATGACAATACAATTAAAGTGGCAAGACTAAATAAGGGGATTCCTAACTAGGCGGTACCGTCGGGCGAAGGTGGGTAAGAAAGGCTGCGATTGATGTGGGGGCGACTCAGGAGTGGTTTGGAGCGACAAAATAGGCCTAACCGAACTGGCTTGTGGCCCTCATGTTGTACTCGCTAAAATGCGAGTACAGTAGGAATTACAAATCTTCACATTAGTTGTAGTGTAGTTGTTTGTTGGTGGTGTACCAACTATCCTTGTCCTTTGCTATATGTTCCTTCTTTCTATATGCTCCATGCCATCCTAAACCTAGTTTCCTCCAGGTTCGTTATTCAACATAGAGCAGGTCCCAAGTTCGTTTTTGCATATATATATATACACATACATATATATATATACACAGATAATGGGCCCATCGTTAGCCTCCTCAATGGCGCGCACTGTCAAGCAGCCCATCACGTTGCCAGTAGTGCGCCCCGCTCGTCTCCCCATCGCGCGCCCCACAGACCTCATTTGTCGCCCTGTCGTGCGCCCCGCTGGCCTCGTTCATCCCCATGTCGCGCCTCACCTGCGGCTCCGTCGCGCCCCAGCCGCCGCTCTGCCACGCCCCGACATCACAGCCGCGCACGCGCCCGCTCTGCCAATGCCCTGCTACAGCGGCGGCCACTGTGGGTTGGGGGCGAGAGGGGGTACCGATCATGCTGCCCCACCCGCGCCTGCCACCATGCCCTTCCATGACGGACCCTGTGGGTGGGAGGCAGTGGGGCTCGCGGCCGTGGCTGAGAGGGGGAGGGGGGGGGGGGAGGGGGGGGGGGCGGGTGAGGTTAATGAGGGTGGCTGAAAAGGAGGGTGAGGTCAAAGGGGCTGGCTGAATAGGGGGATCGCTATGAGCTGTCACACTCATGCCCACCCTCACCTCCTCTCTCTCTCACACCTCCCCCCTTGTAACAGGGGGTACTTAATAATGAGGGGAAGGTGGGGGACGGGGAGTGAGATTCCTTTGAGCTGTCATGCTCATGCCTGCCCCCCACCTCCTCTCCTCTCCCTCTCTTATCCCCCCTTCGAAAAAGGGGTTCTTAACTGGGGGGGGATCGTTATGAGCTGTTGCGCTCATGCTCGCCCCCCACCCCTTCTCTTCTCCTCTCTTCTCCTCTCTCTCTCTCTCTCTCTCTCTCTCTCTCTCTCTCTCTCTCTCTCTCTCTCTCTCTCTCTCCTCCTCCACACTTGCCTCTCTGCGTTCTTCCTCTGCGCTGCTCTGTCCTTGGTGCATCCCTTCAAGGGGAGTTTACTACACGTCTTCCTGCAAGCAGTTATGGGGGCATGCCATAAAATATAAATATATATATTTGTATATGACTGGTTATATTATTGTTGTAGTGTAGTTCTATTGCTGTTTGTTGGTGGTGCACCCAAATTTCATTGCTCTTTGCTATATGTTCCTTCTTTGCTATAGTGAAACCCCACTTTTTGCTAACCCTTGCTCTTGTTTCTTTCGACATGATCATCGCCATCCTAAACCTAGCTTCCTCCTAAGTTCGTTATTTGACAATTCTTTGCTACAACCTTGTTCACCGACAACAAGGCCATGATCCTCTTGTGTCAGAGCTAGAGATTAGTGTTAACAGCTATAGCCTATGCGGAAGCGTTTAAAACTTCACTACAAGCTGAAGCTTAGCAACACTTAACTTCCCTTAAGGCCCTCCGAGTGTGACAACTTGTCACCTCCTAGCCAAGGGCCTAGAAAAACATATAAGGGAGTAGTTATGCTTAGCTCGCTTGCAGGGTGAGAGATCTGGTCGAGCAGCGTTTCGGCAACACCATGTGAGCGTTTCTACTCTCGTCAATACGTAGTAGTAGAATTCCAGAGTGAAAGCATAACAGCATTGATTGAATCAAGCAAGTACAAGCATGCATTTTATATAAACTCCTAAGCACACAGAAGGAAAACACACAAAACGGTTGCTTAACTGAAGTCCAGGACTTCGCCAGATATGCCAAAGAAAACGGTTGTCAAACTGCTGTGAAATTTGGCTTGATTTGCCTGTTGAAGAAAACTGTCTTCAAATTTCATGTCTGCCAAATGCCCTTGCTGACTCCACACATGAGTACTCATGAATGCTCGTTGGCAATTATGAACACTCGTGTGGGATTACCGTTTTCACGACGTCTCACAGTTGAAAAACGGTTTTCACCGTTTTCTCCCTGTATCGAAAATGTCGCGTTACACGCACGACGTTTCCGGCGAAGCTACCTGTACGCCGAGTCAGCGCGGGATTCGGTTTTCCAACCGTAATCCCGAGCTCGTCTTTTCCCGCAATCATGCACGACCGATATTTCGGTCGTGCGGTACTGTGCACTGACGTGCGCAGTGCTGCACGTGGGCAGGGCGATCATTCGCCCTGTCCTGTTGCGATCGTGCCCACAATGCATGCTCGCAACAGTGCGAGGCACACGCGCGGGCCTGAGGGCCCACACGCACGATCAGGACCCCACGCGCGGGTCCTGATATTTCCGCGCAGTTGACCTTGACTGATGCGATGAAATTCCACGAGTCAAAATTGACTCCTCGTAAACACTCGTGGATCTGCATAATGCTCCCTCGCCATGAACACTAAATGAATACTCATGAAAATTTGCGATGCCTCGTCGTGAGCTTTCATGAATGAATATGAACTCGCCATGAATGCGAATGAAGTGAAGTGTGAAAATGAATGTAGGCGGACCGTTCGTGTGATGCGAAATGATATGAAGGCGGCTGCTTGACGTGCAAAAAATAGCATTTCCACTCAACAATTAGAGAGCAGAGTGAAGCACATTTAGCTACAATACTTTCTCCTGCGTCATTTGCAGCGATGTCGCTAGACATCCTTGTTTTTCCTGGCCGTAGAGGCCAAAACTGCTGATATCTTCACCAACGCACTTCAGCATCGTAATCATCATCGGCTGTGTACTGAACTTGTCCTTGTTCCTTCTGGTCCTCACTTGTTAGGTTATTGATATCTGCTTATTTCTCTGTATGTGTTGCTGCCCATATACGCGTTTTGTTCAAGCTATAGGACCCACCAGTAAAAAGGTCCTCGAGGACTCCCTAACGGCACTGGGACTCTTATTTTGGCAAGTTTTGTGAGGACCCCCCCTTTGCCCCAAATCAATTTAAGACCCCCCTGTTTCTAAAAACAGTAGATGTAAATGCGATTGCGCATCAGCTTTCAAAGGCACAAATTCGAATTCTGACACACTGTTTGTATCAGACTCCGATTGTGACACGCTATTTGTGTGAGACTCGAATTATGACACAGATCAGACGCGCCGCTCATGCGAAATTTGCATACGACCCCCCCCCCCCCCCCCCCCCCCCCCGCCCCATATTCAGGTGTACAGCCTAAATAGCAGATTGTTAAATAAGTGTACTCGGGTCTTAAAAAACTCGTGCCACATACATGTTCACCCTAGCTTTTTTTCCTGCATTTGTAGAGAGTCCCCCGGGTCCTATAGCCAGAACAATACGGTATATACGAACTCTTGGACTGACATTGTAGCCATTTGTCTTAGTGGCTGGAGTACTTGTGCCACCGCGGGTTGCCTCACATGCTTGTTATTTTTTACTAACTTGTCTTGTGACAACTTGTGTCAGAGACGTTGACTAGTAGTACCACCCTGACTTGTTTCCTTTTTATCGTACACTGTGCCCGTTATGTAGGCTAGGGGGTGTGCTAAACTGTATATGTTACAATAGGATGTTATATTTTGGTAGCCTAGATTTGGGTTTGCTATTTGTACCCTCCTTCCTTGTTCAACGATCATTCTCATTTTGACAAAATCACCATAGTTGCTTGCAAGCCCCCACATAGCAGCCTTTTTACGCTGATTTGTGTGATTTTCAACACAAAATCGAGTACATAGGCTGTTTTGTCACAATCTTTTTCTGAAATCATAATGACTTTTCACTTTCTCGTTTTAAGCCGATTTCACTAAATTGTTGGACAACACTGATTGGTTGCTGGGCCTAGTTGCTGGGCAATTAGTATTGCTCAACATGAAGAATCTTCGACTATCCATCTCACCTATACTTTGTCCACGCTATTGTGGATCCTTCTGCATTCTCCCATGACAATAAAAATTACTTCTGCCAGATGACTGGAGTGTTCATGATGCCTTCCATGTCAGCCTTCTGGCCTTCTGCCACGTTGGACATTGTCCAACAGAATGCTGCCCTAACAGCTTGCCCAGTTCCAGAACCGATGCTTGGCACGTCAAAGATTTTGAGACACCGAGTTCGTCTTAACTCAGTTGGATGCCACATGGATTTCTCAATATGATGGATTGACCACACCAGCAAGGACGACACCTAGGTCCCGTCGGCCTCACTTGAAGCGCCTTCGCTGCTTTGCGATGATCTCACATAGAGGCGTGTGGCTGGTTTTGACTACCTTTCTTAGGAGGGGGTTTTATGCAAGGGAAATACCTCTTCCGTAACAGGGTTTACTGCTTCGAGCCCAACCCCAACTCTCGAAAGTGCATGTTCGGCTGATTTCATCGACACTGCTACCTCCAAGGTTGTCTCTATCAGAATAAATACTCTGATTAGTTTGAGATTTCAAACAAGTTGTGCATATATCCCTGATTTTCCAGAATGACCAATTTATGAACCACGATTGATTAAGACTATTCACTATTTGAACCCTGATCTTTTTTTTTATATATAACATACTTAACCATTTCTGAGCCCTACCTTAACAGAGTATTGTTTCCGTGGTCTCTGAAATGCGAGCGTTTGTCGGGACGGAACTTCCAGGAAAATTACAGCGAGTACACCCCCGTAAAGATGTACATGGGAGAAATCCCACATACACCCTTGAATTCCCTTCAAACTTTCCCCATGTGAGACGTGCCCCCTTCACCTCCAATGGGATTGGCTTTCGCAGCCCGCTCTCCCCCAACTCTCCCCCATTCACACATGCCCCAACCAACCCCCTTCTGATGCTCCGCCCCTCCCCTTTCCTCCTGTGCACCTCAGTCCCTCGTGCCTCACACTACGCAAACACAACCTTCTTTTACCTAATCCCTCCCCCACCCACAGACCACCGAACATAAGCCTTCCTCTCGCCACTTGCACCTCTAGCCGATTCCCCTCTCGCGCAACGCTTTTCGCCCTCCATAATATGCTCTCACACCTCACGTGCCAGTTAGATTTTCGCCCCCGGTGTGCCTCTGCACGTGTGGCGGGAGGATGACGTGTTGAAACGTGCTCCCCTGGAGGGAGCCAGCCATAGGCTTGTATCCTTATCTAGCAGACTGCATGTTTGTAAACGGGTCATGACCTTAAAGCGACGGTGCACTTTTGGCAAAGGAACAGTGCTGACGTAGCGGAAATGAGTGATTGGTGGCGGAAATATGGGGCGCAATTATCGTAGCAATGGGCGGGCGTGATGGGGGGCGCCGAACAGGACTGCCTTATGGGCGGCGTGAGGCGTGGGATACGGGCCTCGCTCATGACAAAAACGGACGCCTTGTGGCGTGGGACACTGGCAGCGAGAGGCGTGTCATGCGGACGACGTGCGGAGACGGAACCTGGGGCGAGAAACCATGGACGTCGCGCGGCGTGGATACGGGCGGAGATTGGAGAAAAACGAACGACGGCGCCGTGTGATATATCGGGATAGATGCGACCTAAACCGACGTCGTGCTTCGTGAGATACGAGCGGTGATAGGAGAGGAAAACGGAGTTCGTGCCTCATGGGATATGGGCACCCATAGGTAAGAAAACGGACGTTTTGCCATGTGTGATACGGGCGGAGACCGGACGTCGTGTAATCTGGGCAGACTAAGGCGTGGGATATGCAAGGCGTGGGGCGAGGGACGTCGTGGGACGGGCGTGCGTTGTGAGCGGAAGGAACACGGCGAGGCGATGCGACGGACCGTCAGCTGGGAGGGGAGTGGTGCGATGTTGGAACCCGCTTTTGAAGTTGTTGCTCATATCTCGACGCTATGGGAAGCCGTGAGCACGTCCAACAACTTACCGGTTCTAAGGCGTGCCTATACTATTCTGCTGCTAGTCGGGTATAGGGCTGCGATAGCGAGCAGTTGAGTTCACTTTTGTTCAAAGGTTTTTGA